ATACCCGAAAATTTCTAGAACCGAAAAAAATCGAACCGAACCGAACCGACCCGCGCCCACCCCTACACAAGACTGGATAATTAGGCCATGCCAAGCTAAGGGTTCTGTTACCAAGTTCACCAGAATGGGAAAATCACTTCCCGGAGAAGATATCAGGGAACCTGTAGATCCAATCTTCTATAGCAAATACTTCTTCGTCAGCGAGTTCACAAGATGCCAACTGCCAAGTACCAGAGCTAGAACTGTCTTTTTCTGAAAGCCTTATCTCACAAGAATTTAGGTTCCAAGCATTAAAAAACACGGCGAAATTCATCCAGTCAACAACTGCTGTACTTAATGCCTGCCCAAGTATAAGTTTAATATAGTCATTAGCGTTAAGCTTGTCTTAAAAAGATGCATCAAGCAATGTGCAATTTCCCAACATAAAGAGAATTTTCCAGTGAAGTCGAAATGGCCATTTTTTTACTCTTAGCATGAAAGCAAGTCTCTTCTATTTAAGACTAAATCGTGACAAGCAATATAACATGTACACACCCACTGTGGATGACCCATAATTCTCACATATATAGAACTCAAACCTCAGAAACATGAGTTGAGGGAAATGTCCAGATATATTTTGGGAAGGGAACATGCAAAAATCAAATACAAGTGGGTAGAACTGGAAAAAGAAAAGGCCAGCCATAGTCTATGGCTAACTGTTTGCATAAAAATCCCTTGGCATATGAAGCAAAGCATGCACAACAAAGGTTCCTAGTATCCGAATATGTCCCTTTACTCAGGTATCATATTAATACGACTTGAATAGTACTGTTTGAATGATGTTTAAACATGAGTCTGAAGGCAGAAGGCAACTCCAACAACAAGGAGGTTCAAATTTCCTACTCTAGCAAACTGCCAGATTTTGGAACAAAATAATACATATATTTCAAAGCCTATTTTACTTGAGAGGGAGAAAACATGTAGTATGAAAGTCTAAATCATGACATGCCAAGGCCTACATAAAACTTCATTACTCTTCGTCTCGGCCTCAAAGACTACCGTTAATAATACATGTACTTTAATCCACTAACAAAAAGTGAGAATAGTTTTGAAAAAAGAACCATAATCAAACCCAAATGTGTCGATACCATTCCCATTTCAACCTGAGAATTGGCCATGATAGGATGACAAAATGAAAAAGCAGAGGTAAACTTTACAAGAGTCGCAAAAAAGAAGAATGAAATCAAAAGATCATACCTCCAAGGGCTTCCGACCACTTGAAACTCCCAAAACAATTTCTACTGCATCCTGGAAGGGAAATTCCAAGATTTTGGCATAGCATTCAAGTAAAATATTCAACTCTAAGGAGAACCTTGGATCGACGAAGGACCTATTGGCTACAACATTTTCCTTAACTGAGACTGAAGCAGAGTGTATGGACAATAGATTATCCGAGGAAGAAGAGATCTCTTTTCAACTGTTTTTAGTACATTGGCTTCTGGTTGTTTAATCTGGTAATGCTGCAAAAAGAGTGAATTAAATTTCTATTGACTTACAAAGTTCTTATAGCAATGAACATGGAACACCTCAAAAAATATTTTACCACAGCTGAAAGTATTTGAAGGGTAAAAAAGCATAAAAAGCACAAAGATTTATGGAAAACTCAATGTGAAATATATTTCAGGAGCAAATTTAAGATGTAATGCTTCCATAAACACCAGCAACTTTCCCCCTTTCTGAAACTAATAAAATTTACCATTCAAGACATGTTTACATGAAATTAAAATCCTTAACATATAAGAAATGACATTAAAATGCTAGATAGATGACTAAATTTTCGTACCATATTTCCTGTAGGACAATATGACAATTTTTGGGAAGGGTCCTGAAAACAAATGAAAACTGTCATTGGTTTTCGAAGTCATTCACAGTACCTTCTCACCAGATAGTGGAAGGGAGGATTTTGCAATTGAACTTGCAAAATAACAATGACAATTCTAACCATGCGGCATTACTTTCTAGAACCTTCAGTACAGCTAGTGTTTATGGTAAATCTTGTATCATAATATAAATGCAAGGAACATTAATTTTACATAAGAGACAATTTCTATCATAAGTTGGTGTCCAACAAGGCAGTAACTGCAAATCCTCGTCCAAGGTCAAAGATTTGCGTTCTGATTCATTTGAGAGCTCCAGAAACTGAGTCCCACATTTTAAGCTTTCAAAGATGCACTGAGAAACAAAGTTTGAATTTACAACAGCAATTAAAAATTCTGAAGAACATCAAAAGAAAAATCAAGTTACCTCTTCTTCTTCAATGTTATGTGCATTCTGCTTTAGCTGTAAAATGGGTGCTTCAATCCTTGCAATTAAGCCCCGATGGCTATTGAAATCAAATTTTTAGTAGATTTTGATAAAATTTGATGAAATTTGTGGTTGAAAAGTTACGCGTAGATGAAATACGCGGTTAAAAATTGTTGAATTTAATTTAGATTAAAATNACTTCTTTTTAAAGAAAAAATCAGATGTTAACAAAGCTCATTTATAGGACGTTTAACATGTTCAACTGGACAGCACTTCCGTTGTCATGTCCAATCATGTACACAAGTAAAGTGTATTAAACACGAGAGTGCCTACCTATTAACAACCTCTAGAACCTAGTAATTTGGGAACTTTGAAAAGATCGTTGACAAAGTAAATTGTGACGACTCATTGAAAGATAGATTTGGAGTCTCTGGTTATGTACTATGTAATTTCTCTTTTTCCATCCTAAAAAGAAGGTATTTGCCTTCTCGATTTTGAGCATCCCTTATTTTAAAAGAATCTATCAATTCAGACTTGCTGAAATTGGTATATACTATCAACGATCTCAGTCCAACTAATGTTCTTTTGGGACGTCCTTGGCTGCACGAGTGGCAGGGAGGCTACTGATATGATCTCAAAGCATCGACAGTGATATAGATTTCACAATTTTCCAAACACTTTCATTATGTTTTCAGGGGAAAAAGTACTTCGATTTACAACAATAAATCCAATAGTGCATCTCAAATTTATGTTAAAAAAGGCTGATTAGAAAACACTAGTGACGTTGTGAAAAGCAGAGATAACACCGGATTAATCCAATACCACTTTTTTGGAGAAAATAAGATATTAAGCCACAATATGAAGTAATTGATTATAAGAACACAAGAATAATGTAATTTTGCAAAGAATGGAAATTTTATTATAATATGGAAAAAGAACACAAATATTATGTGTTCAAAATGTTTTTGACTTCTTCCTAACTCATAATGAAGACCAACTATATATAGGGAACAAATAGGGGACGTCCAAACCTTTATAGTAGAGTTGTAATTGAAATAGAATGCCAAATACGGAGTCCAAAACGGAAAAGAAGACAAACAGCACAACTAGTGTTGCGGCGCCACTCTTCTGACGCCGTGTGGTGCTGTGGCACCACTGCCAATACCGGCTTCGCTGTTTTAGTGTACAGCTGCCGGAGCCTTGTCTCCGGCCCAAAAACCTTCCAAAGGTGTTTTTCTTTATTCCAAAGTCCTCTTCAAATCCAACACAAATTCCCACTCCCAATGGACTTCCAAATAGAACTTCAATTAGAATTTGCCAAGTAAACTTGAATAGAATCCAACAATAGCATTCCAAATAGAATTCTTCTTAATGTACTTTAATTAGAACTCTCAACTATTTTTAACAAAGAATTTGGATCACACCCACAGTCTAACAAGTGAAATACAAGTTATTCTCAAAGAATCATGTTAATTTAATGTACACTGATGAGTAGAAGCCAACCCTCAATAAAAACTACCAAAACTGCACCATTGCTGAAAAGAACCGTAAAACAGCCATCATCCTGCACTGCCTCCTCAACTCATTCAACATAGCCCTAGTGTAATTATGAGCTAAATTTGAAGTTTAAGTGCTTCAAATGATTTAACTTTCAATTTACATATCCTCAGAAACTCTGACATTAAAGAAGTCTGTCCAGTAATGATCCTCCTTATAATATCAGCAGGACTCCACGATTGCAATGCTTCAGAAATCCTCTCGCCCAGTTCAAAATCTTTCATCATTGATATAGAACACTCAAGTATTTGGAAGACCTTCCCGGGCCCTTCACTCCTTCCATCTTTACGAATCGAGGAAAAACATGGCTTCAAATTTCTCATCATCCGGTCGATCAATTTGTTTGCTTAACCATTATGCAACCCTGTATTATATCGCACACAGATTGGATTGAATTTTGCAACTCGTGAAACAGCTGAGACTCTTCTACAGGTCCACCACACAAGACTGGATAATTAGGCCATGCCAGGCTAAGGGTTCTGTTACCAACTTCACCAGAATGGGAAAATCACTTCCCGGAGAAGATATCAGGGAACCTGTAGATCCAATCTTCTCTAGCAAATACTTCTTCGTCAGCGAGTTCACAAGGTGCCAACTGCCAAGTACCAGAGCTAGAACTGTCTTTTCTGAAAGCCTTATCTCACAAGAATTTAGGTTCCAAGCATTAAAAAACACGGCGAAATTCATCCAGTCAACAACTGCTGTACTTAATGCCTGCTCAAGTATAAGTTTAATTTAGTCATTAGCGGGAAGCTTGTCTTAAAAAGATGCATCAAGCAATGTGCAATTTCCCAACATAAAGAGAATTTTCCAATCAAGTCGAAATGGCCATTTTTTACTCTTAACATGAAAGCAAGTCTCTTCTATTTAAGATTAAATCGTGACAAGCAATATAACTTGTACACACCCACCGTGGATGACCCATAATTCTCACATATATAGAACTCAAACCTCAGAAACATGAGTTGAGGGAAATGTCCAGATATAGTAAATTACAATTGCCATGGGGTATATTTTGGGAAGGGAACTTACAAAAATCAAATACAAGTGGGTAGAACTGGAAAAAGAAAAGGCCAGCCGTAGTCGCTAACTGTTTGCATAAAAATCCCTTGGCACATGAAGCAAAACATGCACAACAAAGGTTCCTAGTATCCGAATATGTCCCTTTACTCAGGTATCATATTAATACGACTTGAATAGTACTGTTTGAATGATGTTTAAACATGAGTCTGAAGGCAGAAGGCAACTCCTTCAACAAGGAGGTTCAAATTTCCTAGTCTAGCAAACTGCTAGATTTTGGAACAAAATAATACATATATTTCAAAGCCTAGTTTCCTTGAGAGGGAGAAAACATGTAGTATGAAAGTCTTATTCATGACATGCCAAGGCCTACATAAAACTTCATTACTCCTCGTCTTGGCCTCAAAGACTACCGTTAATAATACATGTACTTTAATCCACTAACAAAAAGTGAGAATAGTTTTGAAAAAAGAACCATAATCAAACCCAAATGTGTTGATACCATTCCCATTTCAACCTGAGAATTGCCCATGGTAGGATGACAAAATGAGAAAGTAGAGGTAAACTTTACAAGAGTCGCAAAAAATAAGATTGAAATTAGAGGTGTCAAGACGGACGGGCCGGCCAGACTAGCGAAAATCGGCCCGGATCAACCCGGGACCGCGGGCCGATTCGTGACCCGAGCGGGTGGTTCACGGGTCAAGAAGGTGTGATCTACGGGCTTCGCGGGTTGCACCTTCACGGGCCACGATTAACCCGCTGGCCCGTGAAAAAAAAAACTAAA